TGGGTCAGGCCCACGCGCAAGTTCTATACTACTACAATCCAAACAGAGGCCCGATACACGTGTACATCCTAAACAATTCAACAATAGCTAATAGTCCGTAAATATATATATAGTCACACTAAAGGACTCTCACTGGACTACAGGCCGGTCTCAACCTGAATAGAGGTAACATGCTAAAACGCACACGAAGTGGGCATATGTACCTATACCTAAATAGGGTACACCTCCAACCATCGTAGCCAGCTACACATCCCGATGCATATACGTTCCCTAGCCATCGGTCCTGAGGCTCAAGGTCATACCGAGGCACCATAACAGTACATATATAAAATCCATCCAAAATCCCTGGTATTACCGCTCAACAAGTAGTTGCCATGACAATACAAATCCACGGGACTTAACTTTTAGTTAATCCCATCCTTATTCCAAGTAGGTGGGTAATGGTATTGTTTTAAAAACCAAACCCATCCTTAGTATGCCACCGTCCCATATCGGTGCCAACTTTCCAATCCTCCAGTAGTCAATAATACCAATAAATCAAGTATATATCAACTAAATTCCAACATCCAACATTCAATGTTAGCAGTGATAAAATAAGCATTGATAAACAGGGTCACAACAACAACATATACATGTCCAATTTAAGTTGTTCCCTTTAGTCTGATATAAAGACAGAATTAATTAAAACTTCCATTTAACACCTTACAAATGACATACAGATATGTAGGGTATGTATCACAAAATCCTAACCTCCACAGTTGATACTAACTGTGATAATGTAAGCATCAAAACAATATTCACAGTATGTATGTAGACATGCTCAAATTATAGTGTTCCACAAAACCGATCTAGTGTTAAGCTCAAATCCTCCTAGTATTTAAGTTCCAACAGTTGCTATTACAGAAGTTAAGATAGCTATCATCTAGACCCATCCTTCCAATAATTTATACTAGCAGTGGTAAGGAAAAACGTGAACCACAGAACTACAATGCATCCACAAACATGCTTAGTCTAGGTTGAACAAGCATACAACACTACTGTAACTACCAATTTCGTAGCAAAACAGATATCATTTTAGTTTGGTTTAATCTTCATTAATCCTGAAATCATTTAAGAGTGCAAAGAGTATAAAGCCTAAGGGAAAGAGTAAGGACAGAATCTTGCCTCAGAAACTTTTGTTCAAAGTTTCAACGTCGTTTTCTTAAAAAATCCCGGCGAGTTCCAAAACTCGGTTACTGTTCACGGGTACGAAACACTATTCCCGAACTCAAAATCTGATCTCCACCGTTCAGATTGTGTAACACTGAGTCATGAACCTATCCTCCAAATTTTAACTCGATCGGACCATGGACGAAGCGGGATCAGATGTTTGATAAAATCTGGGCAGAATGGAAAAAAACATATGCGACCCAATTACTGTTCATGAGTACGAATCACTGTTCCCGAGGTCAAACTCTGATCTCCACCGTTCAGATTGTGCATCACTGAGTCATGAACCTCTCCTCCAAAATTCAGCTCGATTGGACCAAGGACGAAGCAGGATCGGAGCTTTGATCAAACCTTGGCAGAATGTGAAAAACTGCGTTTTTCCTTCTCCACTTCCACAAAACGTGTGCTTTGTTTAAAAAAAACCCTACACTGACGTCTACCTTATACTTATAGAGTTTTCCTAAACCCTAGGTTCATTTAAGTCCAACTCATAATCCTAACCGGCCCATCTAATTAACGTAGAAACCTACGACGGCTATAATATAAAACCCTAATTTATACTGTAATTAAAATCCTAGTTAGATGTATTTACCTAATTACCCTATTCACCATTAAATATTTAACAAATAATCTAATTGAACAAAATAATAATTAGTAAACCCAACTAAATCAAATAAGACACACATAAAATAAGACACACATAGAATAATTAAACCAATTACAGTTAAACCATTAATGCCAATTAAATAATTAAAACACTAACAAGTAATTCCAATCAAATAACTAAACCAATAAATATCATTTAAATAAATTAAATCACCACAAAAGAAATAAATTAAATCACCATAAAAGAAAACAATTAAGCATCTAATAAAAAAAATAATGACACATAAGCAAATAAAATGCACTTAAATAATAAATTAAATACCATTAAATACCAGGAATATCCTTTTTAATAAATTAAATACCATTAAATACCAGGAATATCCATTTTAAAATTAGGGGTATTACAAAGATCTTTCATTTCGAATTTTTTCTTTAAATAATTAGCAGTCATGGTGAGCCTTTCAGGAGTTCCCACAAGATTTAGATCGTCAACATATACAGTTATAATGGCAAATTCTAATTTTGATTTCTTGATGAAAATGCATGGACAAACTTGATTATTCACATATCCTTCTTTTAGTAAATACTCGCTGAGTCGATTGTACCACATGCGTCCGGATTGTTTCAATCCGTACAAGGATCGTTGTAGTTCGATTGAATACATGGTATGTGGTTTCAAGCTATTTACTTCAGGCATTTTAAATCCTTCAAGAATTTTCATATATATGTCACTATCTAGTGATCCATATAAATAAGTTGTAACCACATCCATCAGACGCATATCCAGTGCTTCTGAGACTGTCAAACTGATCAAAAAGCGAAATGTGATTGTATCCATCACAAGAGAGTATGTCTCCTCATAATCAATACCAGGTCTTTGTGAGAAACCTTGGGCTACAAGTCGGACTTTGTATCTTATAATTTCATTTTTCTCATTATATTTCCTTACAAATACCCATTTGTATCCTACAGGCATGACATTTTCAAGTGTCTGGACTACAGGTCCAAATACTTCACGTTTTGCTAATGAGTTTAGCTTTGCCTATATTGCTTCTTTCCATTTTGGCCAATCATTTCTACATCGACACTCTTCGATGTTTTGAGGTTTAGGATCTTCATTATCACCTACAATATCAAGAGCAACTGCAAAGGAAAATATATCGTTAATAATAACTGTATTTCTATCCCACAATTCTCTATAGTTTATTGAGATCTCATTATTTTCAGGTACCAGTGCCTCTTCAGGGGCTTGTGCCACTTCCGGGGCATGCATATCTTCTAGGGCTACTTGCTTATAAAATTTAGATTGATCAATCATTTTCGTTGTTCTTTTTTATTTCTTTTTTGCTTTCCTCTTCTAGGGAACAGTGTCTTTTGCACCGACTAGTCTACCACGCTTCTGGCGTGTCTTAGATGCATTTGTAATAACACTGACAGACTGTCCTACAGGGACATCAATTCTTGCTGGAATGTTTGCAGCTGGTATATGTGATTTCATCACTTTCTTTGTGTCAGTGAATGCATCGGGTAATTGATTTGCAATACTTTGCAAATGAATGATCCTTTGAACTTCTAGTTCACATTGATTTGTGCGAGGATCGAAATGAGATAAAGCTGAGACATTCCAATTAATAACTCGTTGCTTTTCTGGCTTTTTCTTTTCTCCCCTTAATGGAGGGAAAACAGACTCATCGAAATGACAGTCATCAAACCGCGCCTTAAACACATCACCTGTCATAGGTTCAAGATATCTAATAATAGATGGAGAATCAAAACCTACATAAATACCAAGTTGTCATTAAGGACCCATTTTGGTGTGTTGTGGGGGTGCAATGGGAACATATACAGCGAAACCAAAAACTCGTAAGTGAGAGATACTTGGTTGTTAACCAATCACAAGTTGTAGTGGTGAAAAACTATGATATGCAGTTGGTCTAATGCGAACTAGTGATGCTGCATATAATGTCGCATGTCCCCAAGCAGAAACAGGTAGTTTAGTTCTCATGAGTAATGGTCTAACTATTAACTGAAGACGTTTGATAAAAGATTCTGCAAGACCATTTTGGGTGTGAGTGTGTGCAACACGATGTTCAATAAAGATGCCAATTGACATACAATAATCATCAAATGATTGAGATGAAAATTCTTCGGCATTATCAAGATGGATAGTCTAGATTGGATAATCCGGAAATTATGCTCGTAATTGGATTATTTGAGCAAGGAGTTGAGCAAATGCAACATTACGAGTAGAAAGTAAACTTACGTGTGACCACCGTATTGATGCATCAATTAAGACCATAAAATACCAAAATGGTCTACACACTAGATGAATTGGTCCACATATATCCCCTTGAATTCGTTGTAAAAATGGTGGGCATTTAATAACGACCTTGGAAGGTGATGGTTTGACTATTAATTTACCCTGTGAACAAGCAGTACAAGGATAATCATTTGCTAAAAGAATCTTCTGGTTCTTTAGTGGATGACCATGTGAATTTTCAATGATTCGGCGCATCATTGTTGACCCAGGATGACCAAGGCGATTATGCTAAAGTATAAAAATATTTGGGTCGGAGCACTTCTGGTGCATCACTGCATGTGATTCAATTACTCTTATATTTGTATAATATAATCCAGAAGATAAAGCAGGGGGTTTTTCTAATACATGCTTCTGGCATGTAATACAGAGATATTCAACGCCCCCTTCATTTATAGTCTCAATATGATAATCGTTGAGACGTATATCTTTAAAACTTAATAAATTTCTTTTGGATTTGGTAGAGTATAAAGCATCATCAATATTCAATTGTGTTCCACATGGTAACACAATGATAGCTCTTCCGGAGCCTTCAATTAGATCTGCTGTACCTGATATTGTATTGACACAAGCTTCAACTAATGTTATACTCGAAAAGTATTTTCTATTTCGGAGTATAGTGTGCATTGTTGCACTGTCTGCCAGACATATATCTTCATCATTTATCTTGGGTACAGTCAATGCCTTAGTCAGATCCATGCTTCTTCATATACACAAAATATATATTTCATTATTTCAAACTTGAAATACAAACTAGTTTTACATGCAAGATAGCTAAAATAAAAACATACTAGTACAAACTAGATAGAGACATATTAATGCAGATAAGCTAAAACACACAAGGGATAACATGCTAGAGAAGGACACATTAATTGGTATGGACATTTCCATCACTAATCAAATGATTAATATTATCACTAGGATCAACAAAGAAGTCCGAAACATCAAGGTGAGTAATATCAGTTGGTAAGTCATCATCCACAAAATTCATTTCAATTTCCTTTCTTTTACCCTTATCATTCATTGAGGCACGGTAAAGATTAACTAGATGTTTGGGCGTACGACAGGTACGCGACCAATGACCTTTCATTCCACATCTATAGTAAGGCTTGTCATCATATATCTCAGGAGCTTTGTTCTGCAAAGCTTTTTCTTTTGCCTGCTTCGTCGCATTTGAATTCCACTTCTGGTGGGACGGTGTGGAGTTCCTTCTGGGAACCAATGAGGAATTATGACCACTATGATTATTATCATTATTTTTATTGCGACCATATCCATGACCACCACGACGTTTGCGTCCACGTTCACGTCTATGGCCGTGAAATGATGACACATTCGCTTCTGTGAATGGTACAGATCCAGTGGGATGGGACTGGTGGTTTTGCATCAAAAGCTCATTATTTTATTTAGCCACCAACAAATAAGAAATCAACTCAGAATATTTGATAAATCTGCGCTGTCTATATTGCTGCTGCAGGAGCACATTTGAGGCATGAAATGTGGAGTATGTTTTTTCCAACATATCAGTGATTTTTTCTCCACATAATTTCAATTGTGAGCTGATTTTAAATAAGGTTGAATTGTATTCACTTACACTTTTAAAATCCTGCAATCGCAGGTGGATCCAGTCATAGCGAGCTTTTGGAAGGATCACAGTTTTCTGATGCTCATATCGTTCTTTCAGATTTTTCCATAGTGTAAGTGGGTCCTTAACCATGAGGTGATTTTCGCGCGGTCCTGTAGGGACGCATTATTTTTTTCCTTAATTGTTTCACCGAGATTCATGGCATCTAAGTGGATCTCGGCATCAAGGATCCATGATAAGTAGTTTTTGCCCGAGATATCAAGTGCCATAAATTCAAGCTTGGTAAGTGATGAGCACTGAAAAGTGCGTATTTAAACCCCTTAAGCTTAGGCATTCTACTACCTTTATCTATCTTACTTTACCGTTTTAGATTGATTTCGTATTATTTTCATTTTTAGGCACTTATCCCGAAAATAAGCTAACTCAGCTAAATAAGAGCTTAATTGAAGCAATTCTGAGATTAAACAAAGAAAGGAGCAAAGTGGAGAAAGAAAGAAGCAAAATGAAGCAAAGCAGTAAGTTCGATCGATCCAAGTCCAAGGTTCGATCGATCGAACATCGATCGATCTCAGCACTTCAAGACAGATCCAAACCTTGACCCAAAGCATTTAAGTCCAAAAGTTCGATCGATCTAACATCATTCTTTAATCGATCGAACACATTTGTCCTTATCCAAATGATTGATCCTATCCACAGCTGTACCACCTACTAACCACTTTTGTCCTTTTCCCATAAATATCTCCCACAAATATCTCAGATTTATCTTTTTCCAATAAAGATCAGCCAGATGGATCGATCCAGCCTAAGTTCGATTGATCTCACTTACTTTCAATCGATCTCACTTACTTTCGATCGATCGAACTTCCTCCAGTGCGAAAAAGTTAAAATTCCATCTCATTGAAAGTTGTCCTTTATCCAATCATTAGGGAATATTGTGTGCACGACCCCAGCTCATTTTGGGTGTCATTTTGACCTACCTATATAAGAATAAGGATTGTTTTTTCAAAAGAGGATGAACATTATTTTCATATCATCTCTTGGAGAGGAAATTTAGAGGAGGAGGAGGCTAGAGACACCATTGGAGATCTTCATCAACAAGGAGCAAACCTCATCCATGGAGTTAACCCTTGAGGGTTGGAGCATCATGATAAGCGCCGAATATTGTATATTCAAGCGCCCTAAATTACATTAACAAAGTCCAGTTATTAATTATTTTATGTAGATTAACTCCATTTGCATGTTTTTATGCATTTTCAGGTTGAAGTGCAAAAAGGAAGCAAAAATGAGGCCTTGTGGAATTTTGAACAAAAAGGATGCCATTTCTGATTTTCTGGCAGCGGTGATCCTGACTTTTGTCGCCATTTTCGACCTAGCAAACTCAAGAACTAGACTTCCATCATAACATGAAAGATTTAGATCTCTGAATCAGCTTTCCAAATCTTCAAGTGGTTCATCATTCGGAGTTCGGAGCAGAGAGTTATGATCTTCATAACAGAGGTGCGCAGAACTGCCTGGCAGCACTGATGTACTGCCTTTCTCCCCATTTTCGACCAACCAGACTTGAGAATTGGGTCTTCATCAAAACATGAAGTTTTTAAAGCACTGAATCAGCTCTCAAAATCTTCAAACAGATCATCATTCGGAGTTCGGGGTACAAAGTTATAGCAGTTTTACCAAAATAGGTCAGCGTTGAGCAAGAGGAGCATGTTGCACATTGCACTAAGTTAGAGTGCTCGAAAATCAGGCAGAATGCCCTTCGGAAATGGCTCATTTCAGCCCACTTGCACATTGGTTTCCTCAATGCCATCTTCCTTCTTTATGAAGTGGTTGGAGGTGTTCCTTGGAGGAGAGAGGGTGTTGTTGGAGCATAAAAAGCTACCCAAGGGCCACACATTAAGGATCATCATCTTTAGCAAGATAGAGGAGAGAGAAGAGAGCAAGAAGAAGAGGGTTCTGGGAGCAAAAGGAAGGGAACTCGAAAATGGAGGAAAAGGGCAAGCTTCTTCCTTCTCCTAGCTCACTCATGGGTAACTAAACCTCATCTAGGTAGGTGATGAAGCCTCCCCTTTTGTTCATGTTCTAGATTAGGTTCTATTTTGGGGATTATAATGTATAAACTTTGGTCTTTTCATAGTTTAAGAGCTTATTACTTCTTGTAATGAACATTCATGTTTAAATGATTGATGTGAGTTATTTAGCTTGTCTTGATGATTCTTACATTAGTCTTATTGCTTTTATTTTCATAGTGACAATGAAGATATTAACTATGAATGGTTTTCAAGGCATGTTAATTTTGAAACTTGATATTCCATTGCTTAGGTACCTCCTTTGATGGACTATGCTTGATTCTTACTTTCATGTGCTTCATCATTTGATTACAAACTTGATAGTTCTTGCTTGAGTGAGTATGTTGAAGGCTACACTTTAGTTTAGGTAGCTCAAATGTATTAATTTTTGAGGGATTATTCTTGTTTAATGATTTAATGAACTTCTCTAAGGGTATATGGTAATCTAGTGTTGCTATATATTCCGTGACCATTTTATACACTGTACTTCCCCAATTTAGCCTTAATCTAGCATGTACTTAGGGTGTAGTGTGGATTCACCTCCCTAGTATTTTCTACTTGTATCTCACTCCTTTAATTTCCTTGCAATTTATTGTTTTATGCACTTCAATTACTAGCTTAGTGACAAACCAATCAAACAAACCCTTATTACCCCTTATCATTCGAAGAACAATTCTAGACTCTTAGGTTGCCATAGACTAGCGCAGTCCCAGTGGTTCGACTTACCCGACCAATAGCCCTATTTTACAATGATTCGTGCTATTGCGAAGGTTGATGTTTAGTTGATCAACCGATCAATTTTTGGTGCCGTTGCCGGGGACTGCAAACGGTTTAGCAACCAAAGTTTAGGGTTAATTTTAGTTTGATTATGAATATTGTGTCTTGTGAATATTCCTTGTGTGTTTTGACTATCTTTGTGTTTTAAGTGTTGTAAGATTCTAGGGACTCGAAGCTCGCCGTGGGAATGCTAGCAAATTGTAAGTTTAGAGGACCCTAGGTAAGTCTCGTGACTTCTAGTTTCGAGTTGTGAATATTGTGCATGTGTTAAATTTAGTTTTAGTTTAGTTGTGAAGCCCTTGTTGAGGCTCTTATCCTGTTTAAATTTCGTGTTCAAGCATCGGTCCTTGTCGTGGCCAATTTAATTTTTGTCTTGATAATTGAGGAGAAAGGGAATATCATATGTGGAGGTTATGGTGATGAAGTGTTGTATTGATTGCTTTGTGTGTTGTTGAATTACTCCTAGATGGAGGATAATTATCTCCCAACTCAATTCTACACACCACATGCTTTTTGTGCTTTTGCTCTAGTAATTCACATCATACAAGAGATTGTCTTCCAACGAGACAATTCTCGGATTTTTATCTAGAGCAACCAAATGAAAATTTCTTTGAACCGGGTAGTAATCCATACTTCAATGGTTACAACTCGGGTTGGGGAGACCAACAAAACTTCTTGTGGCATGACATAGGAAATTCAACCCCACAATCTCATATGCAACCTTTTCAACCCAATGATCATTCTTTCCCGCCCTCTTCTCCTTTTCCACCGTCTCCATTGGATGAGCTAATTGTTGCTAACAAACAAATGATGGAGTCTATGCACACGCAAATGATAGACTCCAACAATCAACTATTGGCTTCCCTTGCTAGCATGTAATCCACAGTAGAGTCTATCAATCAAGTGGTACCATATCACCAGTCCCAAGTTAGTGCAATGATAGATGACCAAATATCTCAAATTCAACAAAGGATTAATGCTAAAAATCATGAAGAGGAGGAAACATTTTCATTTGAATTTATGGCCAATCCAAAAGAAAATTCTATGAATGATGAGATTACTCCTAGTAACTTTCATCATGAGAATGATCAAGTGGTTATTACATGTGAAAATGATGAAATGGTGGTTGAAGATCAAATTGTTGCCCCACATCAAAATGAAGCAATTGTGGCTCAAAATGGGAAAAATAATGATGTAGAGATTGTCTACCCTACTCCAAAATAGCCCCTACATAATCCCTTGCTTGATGCACCTCCTTTAATGGAGGATCCTCTAAAAACATGCTTAGCTCATTTTAATTATGAGGATTTTGATGTTGCCAATTCTGTTTGCGAGGTCAATTATTTGCTTGATATTCCTCCTATTCATTCTCTTCCTTTGTCAACATCAAACGTATCTCTTTCTTGGGAGCTTGCATCTCATCCCATTCCCTCACTTGAGTTATCTCAAATTGTTGAGCCCGAACCACCGGATAAGTGTGGGGAGGATGTTGAAATTCTGAAGGATAACTTGTTGAGCATTCCCGTGCTCAATATGACCCTTCATAAGTCGTTGCTTGGTGCACCCTCACCTAATCCATCTTCCTATAATCCAAATCATCCCCATAGTCCAAAGTTCTTCATTGAGAAAGAAGAGTGGGTTGAGGTCTTTCCGTTACCTCTTTTCCACTTTTGTCTTCAAAGTCTTCCTCCTCCACTTTTAAAAGAATTATCCTATTTGGGGACCTATGACTCTCTAGAGAGACATGGTATAGGGTAAGGAGGACTAACCTGATCTCGGTGCGTCTAGCTATCGACGTTAAATTTAGCACCCATGGGGAGCAATTCTTTCGACTTCAATGCCTCCCTAATGTTCAATTGCCTGAGCCATGAAATTTTATGGGAAATGGTTAAGAAATGCCAAAATTTAATTTTCTCTAGAACTATCTTAAGTTGTGTTCCACATTTTTAGACTGACTTC